CAAGACTGAGCCTCTTGGGGGTTTTGTTGTTGCTGTTGTTTTGTCCTTTTGGTTTCCTATGTGGACGTGATTTTGCCACACTGCCCAACAAAAGGCTGCGAAGTGCTACTCTGGAGCATGAACTGAACATCAGCTCAGAGTAAAGGATGCTACCAGCTACACTGCCAGTCCATCCCCGCATCACCACCAAGGGTTTTACACCTTCTGTGAAAGCTAAACAGAGGGACCACTGGCTAATTCCTGCAGGACCACAGTCCGAGTAGAGATGGCCACAGACATAAGCAATAAGCCATTCAATCGCACCAGTAACTTTAATGACAACAAGCATTTAATAAAGGTGCGACAAGCAGAACTAAATGACCTCGCCCACATTAGAAGTAGATACAAAAAGACTCAGAGCAGCTTCTTCTCCCTCATGGAAGCCCATCTGTTACACACTATGTGGGCTCTCCTTTAATGATTTATTTAAACAGAAGCAATCAAAAGGTTCCGCTCTTCAGTTTAGAATCACATAATTGCTCAGACAGAGGATGAACTATAGAAACAATATGGAAAGCCTATTTGGTCAAAAAAAACTATCACTGAGGAAGAACATTAAAACCACCACCTGAAAAATCAGTTGACAAAACATGGAATCATTCTGGTTATGCCATAGGCACGAGTTTATGTCATACTTGGTATTTTTTGCAACACTTAAAAATGGTGTAAAATTGTTAATAATCTTTAGACATCTTCAAATAGTATTCCAAAGACCGGTTAGGAAGAAAAATAGAGAAGCTTTTGTATTAAAGCTATTAAAACAAATATTTAAACAAACAAAAAAAGGTAGGTTTCTCAGTGCAAAGTACACTGCATGTGTTTCTATTGTAAGACTTTCTTTGTTGCATCTATCAGAATAAAAATGTCTTTGAAATAGAATAAGACTGCTTTGTAGCAAATGGTCATTAACACTTTGATAAATCACATCCTACACAATTGTATATGAAGCACAGAACCTTCTTTTCATAAATATTTCAGTATACAGTAGTGAGTATTACATTAAGCAGCACCACTAGTGGTTTGTGCTGTCCACACAATATTAAGTTTCAGACTAATTAATTGCATCCTTCACAACAGTCAAATGTTCAGCTTTTGGAACAATGACTACAAAAATAGCAGAATTTTTATTATTCTTTGAAGTACATTCTGAACATATTTATTCCTAATTAGAATTCTAAAGCCAAAACATTGGGGTTTATTTTATTTTTAATAAAGCAGATTTTAAAAAATGAACTCCAATAGGTTTTTCTCCTGTTAAAAGTACAAAACACTCTGAGATATTCTGTGCAAGCATACAGAGTGTGTGTATTGAACAAAAGAAAGTAAAACTGAGTGTGATAGAAATGTCCCCAGCTTCCCAAGAAACCCCTCTGCTACATCTAGTCTGTTGTTTAATAAACCTATCCGTTCAATTCCAGAAAGCTTTACTGTACAAGCAGACTGGTAAGAGCTTTCAGACTTACACAAGCAATATCTAAGACAATAAAAGTCAAGGATGGAAACAAGAATTGAACAGAGAGACTGAAATATCAGCCTTCAAACAGTAGTTTGAGTTTTGGTGTTTTTTAAAAGGGTTAAAAAGCTATTTTCATGTGCATGATAGCCTTTATTTTATATTTCCTCTAGAAATTAATGCAGTATAGAAATTCTACTTAACATGACTTGGCAAGCACAACCTAGCAATTAGCTCGGGAAGCACGGTGTCCCCTAGCTGTGTGTGTACACACATTACTTACAGGAGGTGCTTTCCCAAAAGTGTAATAGGGGCAGAAAAAGGCTGAGAACAGCCAGGAAAAGAACTCAGCAGACGAGACAGGAAAACTTGCCCATCAGTACTGGTGATGAGGAAATCACAACAGGAGGGTAGGTTTCATTTCCAGCCTTGGGTTACAAATGCCAATCAACCCAAGCCAGGATTTATAAGCACAATCCAACAATTTGGCAGACAGGCAAGTAATTAGGCTTCAGTTGTCTGGAACACAAGTTTGGTTGTTTTGGGCTGTAAAAGCAGTTCTCTTCTTTGCCATAACAGAACCTTCTGACTTTATAAGACAGGTCTGCTCAATGACCAAGCACAAGACCTTCAGCAATTTCCCCAGAACCATCACGTCTGTGGTCCAGAAGAATATAAAGCTCACACAGAATCAACAGCACCACTTGGTTTCACATGTTTATTGCAAGGATTGATTCAATCAGGATTGATACTAGACTACCTGGGAAACTGTTTCACCACCATTTCAGATAAAATTACATGACCTCTAAGGCTCTGGATTTCCTATCTGTAAAATGGCAATAAAAGTTGATCACTTTTATAGCAGCATTTTGATGGCCTTAGAAGAAAGTCAGTGTCTAAAGGGCAAGTTAGTACTATTCATCCTAAAATGCTAATACTTAGTGTTGCTTGTCAATGCTTCTATTATCCAACATGAAAAGCATATTTTTTAGCATCTCTAAAAATATGAAAGGATTTTTTTGTCAAATTTCCTTCATAGAGAGCACTGACAGCTCTCAGTGCAGTAAGCCAAGCCTGATTTTTGCACTACATCTGCAATATCTTTTATACTTGGGCAGCTGGCACAGAGTGAGAAAATTCATTAACATGCTAATGATGTGTCCTATTTAAAATTCCAGCTCTGATTATTGTGTGATTAAGTCTCTTCCCTTGACGTCTGCTTCCCTATATCTGCATTACTGTGAAAAATCAACAATTATTAATGAAATAAAAAATAGGTGACCAATTTACACACAAGATAAAGACAAACATACACACATATTTTAGCATTTATTTTTTTTTGCCTAATGCTTTCCATACAAAAGAGTATTAAGTTCAGTTAAAAAAAAAAAATCAAAGTTTTCAAGAAGCTCACAGGCACAAAACAACAATTCAAGTGCCAGATGACACAGAAATAGACATGTATAGGACCTAACCTAATCTAGTGCACGGTTGGGCAGGAAAAAAGGCAGAACTGCCTTTCTCTGCAGCAACACAGATTTTATTGGCATAAATGAAACACCAGGCCTAGGGCTGTGATGCAAGTCAGGTTAGCTACCCCAACTCAAATCACACCTTTCACAGTGCAGACAAAGCCAACACAATTACCTCCAGCTCTTTCAAACAACAGCAAAAACAAATAGCAAAAAATTGTATTCCAATTCTTTATGCTGTATTCTCTAAACATATAAGTGCTGTGCAAAATAACACTGTTCCATAAAGGTGGCCTCTTTTCCTCAAGACACCATCTGCATACTGTTTTCCAGAGAGTATCTGAAAGCTTACATTCAATTAAATGTGTTGGTATCAAACCCATGCCAGTGTTCTCAAATATTTTCATTTTTAAAGGGGAAAATAGGGTTGATCACATATAAAGGAGGCAGGGAGGGTGAAAAGGGAAGATGTCGGGTTTCAATTTATGTATCTCTGACTAGCATCTGCTTGACAGTATTTTAGTTTTACACAAGGATAAATTTCTCCTTATGCCTGCAGAATCACAGTAAATTAAAAGAAAACCTACACAGTAAACACCCAGTATTTTGAAATTTATTGTCACAAATTGTGGGACACTAGAGGTCAGATAAAGAAGGTATCTCCTTTCAGCTATATAAATGCAAAAGGGAAAAAAGAACTTATGAACTTATACCATTTCTGTTGCTTCAGCAAGCATCTTGCACAAGCTTGATTTAAAACCTTGCTAAATTAAACCACAAATGAGAATGTACATGTATATTATAGGAAGTTTAATTATACTAAAATAAAAGAGAAACAAAATGGGCTGATTAGAAGGTCAGAATCCTTTTCAACTCTTGAAAATACAAGGAAAGAAGAAGCACTGCCTGATGCGCATTTATGGGTTTTTATCACAATACACTAAATTTGAGGAATAATTTGTTAAAATTTTATCTAGATTCTAGAAAAGCAAGTTATCTAGAAGTCTGTGTGTATATATATTATTCTTTACATTTTTAAAACATGGTCTTAGATTTATTCAGCTGCCTACAAATCTTTTTGTTTCTAAGATAGCTCTGCTTATTTGCTTGCCTATGAAGAAGCTTCATATGCTTCTAAAACAGAGGCACCTTTCTGTCTCTACCCAGCCTACTGCTCATAAGATCCTGAAAAAGGAAAGACACCTCAAAATCCTAAAGCTTTAAAGTAGCTTTCAGGATTGTATTTAGTTTAGAGATAATTACAGTTACTGTACATTTGTAGTCAATCAAATGTTGTTGAGCCTTTTCACTTAAGCAAGCAGCAAGGCCATTTTATCTGCCTCAACTTCAGGAGTGAGTACAGCAGGCAAGAGAGTAAGTCAAGTCTAGGAATGAATGTGCTCTTTGATAATCTGTCAGTACCTTTCCCAGCAATCACAGACAACCTCCCCAATTCCACCATGACCCTACAACCCAAGCACACTGCTCATTGTTGTGTGAGAGCAGCACTTGGCAAGTTGGTTAAACTCCCCCTCAAACACAAGTTTAGTATGAGACTTCTTGCTTTCAGAATCAGGAGTCTCTTGCACCTCATACATTCAGACTCACCACCAAATGTGATATATATGTATGCACTAAACATTTGGTTTTATACACTAAACATGTTCCTATTGTCACAGCCAGACACATCTACTGATTCTGCATAAAGACTTCGTGTTCCACTGTATGGGAACACAAGCACAGCCCCATCATCACTGTGACAAAAATGGGCTTAGAAAAGAAAGGCTTTGAGAACTGGGCCAAAACAGATTTTTTAGAGTGGTATATTGTTGGGGTATCCCTTGTTCCTTATGGCCTCCCCCAACTCCAGGGGGAAGATGAGAGGATATTGAACATACTGCTTCTCTAGGTCACTGCCAGACTTTCCTCAGGACAATCAGTATGTTTTGTGAAATGCAGAATGATTCATCAAACCCAGCACATCCTCAGGAGTTCAGGTCAGAGCAAAAAGCTGTAACAATCTGTAAACTACTCACCAAAGGCAGTTTCTCCTTGTTCAAGTTCTTGTTTCAGTCTGGTGTAATCATCTTTAATTCTCTCTAATTTTCGCATATTTCTGGCACTCAGAACCAACAGTTCATTGAGAAGTCCTTCCAGTCCCTCTTTCTCAGATGTTAATGATCTTATTTCTTCTGCAAGATCCTTTGCAGTGTCAAAATTACTTCCTGCATGTTTAGTGGGGGTAGGGGAAGAAAGAGGAAAAAGACAATGAGACAGACCCTTGCAACATCAGTAGCTCACACAGCAATCCTGGAAAATTAGGCAATTATACTTCCCAATAGCAAGTGAAAGGGGGAAAAAAAAGAAAAACTTCTTTGCAAGCATCATATCATTAATATTACAAGAATAATAATTGTAGCTGATTTAACCTTACATACACAGAAATGGTATTTTCTGTAATTATTGATACTATTTACAGTTTTTCAGGAAACATGTTCCTTAGGGTTCAAATAATGTCATATTGTGATTCAATGACTGTTGCAGTGTGATCTGTCAGACCATTTTCTTCTTTTGGAGGACCCCTCAACACAGTACATTTGAAATAGAGGCCATCAACCTGCTGGACCCTGAAGTATTTCCCTCCTGAACAAAGCAGCCCTGTGCTGGTTTTAGTAACAAGCACCAAAGATTGTTTATGAATGACACATTGCATTTCTTAAATGGCCTGCACCTCAAGCAAAGACCACAGGGAGATGTTCTTCTCAGAGAATCCATTCAGAAGTCACAACCCTCCACTTCCGGCTCTCCCTGAAGAATGAAATGTCACAGACAGGTAGAATGCCTTGGCAGCACCAGCTTACACTATTTTGGAGTTTTTAAAAATGTCTGCTTCCTTTGGACAGGAATACAGAGTAAAAAGTTCAACTCCCAAGTGGTTTAGAGTGTAGCCTAGTAACATTTATCCACTTAACTGTTCTGAAAACCACTTTTATAAGCAGCTGGAGAGGAATGTTTCCTTACTTTGCAAAGAAGTCTTTTGTAATAAATAGAAAAGGACAGTGAGATACTCTGCCACTAAATTATTTTAAACAGCACTATAGTAACAATGCTACATTTGCACAACTGTACCAGAATCATTTTAATGATTGAGATACTTGGCTGGGGGGAAGAAAACCAAACCAAAACATACACACAAAGAACGAAACTCCACCACCACACTTCAAGCTAAAGAATTCTTGATAAAAATAATGTTCATATAGAATTGCCCAATAAAAGAAAGAAAACCTTTAGCATAGGGCTTAAGCTGTGATATCATCCTAAATTAGCAAAATTTTGGTGATATGATCTAATAAGTAAAGGTATTTAGTAAGTAAAGGCACTTAGAAGATTTAGCCTTGAAGCAAATATTAACATAAAACAATTCAGTCACAAAAATGTCTCATCAGCTTCTGAGGTATGTGTAATGACTTTAGACTCCTGAAATCACTTTATAATACCACCAGCATTATTCAGATGTAAGGGTTTCTTTTTGGTTTTGTTTACACAATATGACACACTGTTGCTTAGACACAACAGACCAATTGAAAAGTTTATTTTCAAATATTAACATACAATCCAAACAATCAAATCCACATCAGAATATCCTGAATTATGGCATTACATCTTTCTGACCGGGAGTCGAAGTGTTGGTCACAAAGCCTTAAAAGAGAACACTTAGCCTGCTGTTCAGTTTCTTCAAGACAAGGAAGCAAGAACAGGATGCAAGTGTTTACACTGGTCAGAAGATGGCAAACCACCACCAGCAGCTGCCAGGAGAGGTTCTATTCCTCCAGAATGCCAGAGAGAACAGGAGCACTTCCACCAAACACCCACAGCCATTCTCCTGGAGCAAAGGCGCTGTTGCAAACTCAAGTGGCTCTGTGAGGGCAGGTGTGCCAAAGGGAGGTTTGCACTTACCAAAATTTTGGAAAATAGTTTATCAAATTAGTCAGGTTTGAAGACTGAACATTGCTAAGCATGGTAGTCTTGCTTTGCATTTGGTTTTTTGGTGGTTTCTTTAGTCCCAAGGCTATGATAGTTTCATCCAACCTCTTCCTCATTTAAAGGTGACGTTTTCTTGTTTCTTTTTAACAGACTGAAAGTCCTTAATTTCTAAGTCCCAGCTAAAACCCTATTTTCCACTTCTGTCTTCCAATTAAATAACTATAAACATGCTATACAAATTGTAGGATCATATGGCTTACCAGAGCTTTACTGGGAAACAACAGCACAAATTTCATTACCCTAATTTGTCATGTTTCCAAACAGGCAAAAAAAGCAGCAAAATAAGCAAGACAAAATCACTTGGAAAACTGGCAAATATTCAGATGATTCTAAGGCATCAAGACTTGAGTCCACCTTTATCCACCTGAACTCATCCCAAGCATCAAAGCACAGGAGCCTTAATAAAACATGAAGGTGAGAAAATCTTCATTAGAATCTGGAGCCTGCTGTTACATTTCAGAGGGCAGCAAGGAAAATGGTATGATATTGCATATCAAAGTTTTATACATACTGAATGGATCTGAATCCCCAGAGGAGAAGTTTATATCAAAACTGAGACTATAAGGAAATGGCAGCAGATACAAACCCAAAAGCCAAAGACACCCTACCTGCTGCAGCTTCCCATGACAGCAAAAATGTCTGTAAGTCTGCAGTGAAAATTCAGAAGAACATATAAAAACACAGGCATTACAAGTACCATTATCAGCGAGCTCTGACCTCCATCTCAGTAACAAAAGTAACTGCTTTCTACATGCCATAAGAAGGTTGAATTAAAAATTAATATATAATATAGCTGCCAGCATTGAAAAACATGCCCTCCTGGGCTGTTTTTTTTGTTGTTGTTGTTGTTTTGCTGTGGTTTGTTTTTTTGTGGTTGAGATGTACACCATACAAACATTCTGAAGATATATGTCACGATATTTTATTCTGCTAATGCTCTCAAAATGTTACAATTCCTTTTTTTGATAATTTAATAATTGGTTTGCCTAAATGAACACAGTAACTGTTACTTTGTCAACCACTGGGAGCTATATTTTACACAGCCATACCAGTGAGAGGGTTCTGATTGGCTGATATCACTTAAGTCAGTCTAACTCTTCCCAGGAAACTCAAAAACCATGCAGGCAATAGGACTGCTCACTCAGAAAATACATACAGAGAAAACAAAGCTAAGGAATTCATAGTTTAAGATCAAAGCTGAGATTCTGATCTAAACCAGGATTCTGTGAAGTTGACTGAAGAGCAAGATGCCCCTTTTCCCATCTTTCCTTCTGTCTCACAGTGATCCTTGCTACAGACGTGCAATTTTAGCCACTGCATCCACACCCATATAAACACACTGGGGGAAAACTGGGGCAGGAAACTTGCAGTAGCCAGTGCTCTGAACAGCTCGTGTGCTTGCAGTGCACTGTCATGAGGAACTGAGTATGTACACTTCACTTTGAGGCACTGAACAGTGCCATTACCTCAAAAGACAGCAACAAAAAAATTTAAATCTTCCTGCTTAATCTTGCCCTCTGGGGCTTTCTCCTTCCATGCATCCTTCATCCTCTACAGAAAGTGACATCAGGTAAGCTCCAGCAGCTTGATGTGAATGCCAAAAATACCAGCCAAATCAATTACAACAACCCACACAGGAAAAATAGTAATTTTTTTTTAAATCTCCAGGCAGAAAGTAGCTATAAAATTGCTTTCACTTAGTGTAAACATTAGTATATATCCTTAATTATCCTTAATTTCCTCTATTCTTAAAATTTTGCTTGTATGGTTACAGCTAAATAGTACTGTGCACATCAAATATATTTTCAATAGATTTAGCCACAAACTCATGCCCATTATAACACCTCCTTGTCAGATTTTACTGTATTGGGCAGATTGTGGCCCATTTAGTAGCCTTGAAGTAAAATATCATGATTTTGATACCATTTGTCAGCAACAAATTGATTAAAAATATGGCTTGAAATCTGTGCAATTTTACCAAAAAACAAGAAATATGTTATTAATTAGACTTTATTAAATATTTCCGCCTTCAAAATATACGACAAAGTTAAGAGTCCACAAATTTTTTACTCACAGTTTTTCTCAAATTTATGGCAGAAGTTATGTACATTCATAGCTAGCATTAGTTATGCTTGAAGCAGAGAGAGAAGTCTAAGTCCCACTGAAAATATATATTCATTGTAGTACAAATAAAGGAGTAATTTTTTTCATTAATAATAAAGCATATCTATTTGACACTATCCTAAATGTAACAAGGAATAGACTGATCATTATTTATCATTATCTATAAATTAATTCTTCATATACTTACAGCACTACCTTTAATAATTCATAAGTGAAAATATGCATTTTAGCTTAAGGCATTTGCCACCATATTATTTATCAATGGTACTGGAATTCAAGGCTGAAAATCTTCCACCCTGTGATTAATGAGGGTACAAAGTGATTTCAACACCACAAAAGAAATTGAAGAAAATAAATATCATTCACCTACACACAAAGGAAAGGGAAAAAGCTAAAGACATGACAGAAATGTAAGATTCTGGAAGGACTGCCAGTATGTTTGCACCTCTGAAAAAATAAACTGCAAATGAGGGACAGTCTACCATCTCCTCAAACATTTTACAGAAATCCAGCACATTTGAATTGCAATTATTGTTTTTAAGCAATAACACATGTCAATGCTTTTACAAAGTGTAACACAACTACATGATTGATATAATTCTGAAAGGTAAATGTCAGCTAGAAGAAGGTGAGAGACCCCACAGACATATATTTGGAGGAGCAATCCTCAGTCACAGAGTGCCTCTTGTACCTGGACCTAATCAGTCACCAAGGAACAACTCAGGAATCATTAAAAAAAAAAAAAGGAGCCCAAATAAATAAACCCCAAAGTAATAACATTTCAAATCAGTAGTAACAATGGAGAGAAATATCACTGTCCCCTTCTACGAGTGTTTTTCCTCATGCACTCCAGACCACAGCACAACCTTTCTGCAGGGTGATAGCACCTTCTCGTCACAGCTCTCCCATCCAACACATGTGCTCCTTTGAGCACAAAACCACAGAAAAGAAGCTGCCAAAGAGAACTTGAGCTTCTCTCCTGCTCCAGGGACAGCTGCTTAGGTAAGAGGAGTGAAAGAGAGTAAGTTGTTTCATGACTGACTTCTCCAACAGAAGA